GGCTTACTTTCATATTTTAAATTTTTATTTTCACTGTAGAGTATCATAAATAAATAAATAGTAGTTAAAAATCTGAGTCGCGGGGCTGGAGAGATGACTCAGCAGTTAAGAACACTGACTGTTCTTGCAGAAGACCTGGGTTCGAATCCCAGCACCCACATGGCAATTAACAATTGTCCGTAACTCCAGTTCCCAGGGATCTGACAGCCTCTTTTGACCTCCTCGGGCATTGCACAACACAGGTGACCTTACCTACATGCAGACAATATACACATACACATAAAATAATAAAATATTTTTTAAAATCTGAGTTGCATTAGTGGAAACACAGAAGTGACAAAAGAAATTTTGTATCTTACCTACATGCATGACAGGGTTTGTCAAGAAAAAGATAGTATGTCCAGATAAGGTACTCTGTGGGTCTTGGATCATTCATTGTACTGAGTATCCCTGAGCCTCTCAGCTGGAAATTCAGTTCTTCTTCTTGGTCACTTTTCTCCCTCCCTGTGCTCTTTTACCACTGTCACAGGCTGCACCTCCGAACAGAAGCTTATGTTTCTATGTCCTATCTCTTAATGGTTTGGTCTCAGAATTTGTATATTACTGTTGTCATTATTGTAGTTGTTATTATTGAAACAAAAATCTCATGTAATCTAGGTTGATCTCAAATTTGCTCTGTAGTTGGAATTATACTTGAACTCTGATTCACCTGCCTCCACCTCCCAAGGACTGGGATTCCAGGTGTGCACTAGTACTATCCTCCCCCAAAAAACACTTTGTGTATTACTTTCTTAGAGATCTTGCACTGGCTTTTATTTTCCAGCTTTAAAAAAACAATTATTTAGCATCATGTGCGTGTATAACAGAGCATGGGGAGTGCACATGTGGTACAACATGAGTATGAGTGCAGAAGCTTGAGGACAGTCTCGTGGGGTCAGTTCAAGTGCTCAGGTTTCCATCGTCAATTGGCAGGTGCATTTATTGCTGAGCCATCTTTCCAGTCCATATGTTCCAGCTCTATATTGGAGTTCTTTCTCATGCCACAGCTTACCCTGCTGCTGTGGTTCTTCAGTGCACCATGGTCTTTTTTCTAAAGTGTAATGGCTGTTGTTTATTTTGTCTTTGAAAGTAATAAGTGTAATTTGCTATTTGCTATTGTTCGAAATATTCCTCTCCTGAGTCATGGGCTGATGTGCCACCATGCCCTCCTCCCTTCCCCCCTTGTGTTTTAGTGTCTGGTTATCTTCAAGTATTTGGAGACTCGGCTATCTCTTTGTAGTTACAGAGTGAAAGCAAGAATGTATGAGCACTCATGGATAGGTGGCTGGGCAGAGATTAAGAAACCCCACTGGGGTCTAGAGAGATGGCTTAGCGGTTTAGAGCACTGACTGCTCTTGCAGAGGACCTGGGTTCGATTCCCAGCACCCACATGGCAGCTACCAACTGTCCTTACCTCCAGTTCCAGGGGAATCCAACACCCTCTTCTGACCTGCGGCATTGCACTACAATGGGTACACTCACATACATGCATACATACATGCACTCATACATATTTTTAAAAAAAAAAAGATTGACTTCATTTGACCTACTGTCCTTTCAGGAGACCCGTGACAGCTCCGTAACAAACCTTCTGTTACCAGATTTAAGTAGTGTGCTCATTTGAATGCTGGGAGACGGGCTCAAACAAAACTTGGAGTTAGTGCTTTCTTGTAAGCATTTATCAAGAATTAGTATGTGTTCCTACTGTGTGTCAGGTTTGGGTTTCAGTTCCTGTGGAAGACAGCACAATAATAAATGGTACACCAAAAACATGTATCAGTACACTTTACAGACATTCTAGAGCAGAAGTATGGAGATAGTTCTGGTGTCAAACAAGAGAGACTTAGATGGTTTCTGAGAACCTGCCTGAGTCTCAAAGGATAGAAAAAGATATTCAAAGAACTAAGGATGTCTCATTAACTGACCTAGTAGAATATGGGTGCCTGACTGGTATTGAGGGGATAAGCACAGGCTGAATGGTGTAGGGCTGCCAGGTTGTGGTCAGGGCCTTGTTCTTAGTGCCATTTCCTAAACTGGATTCATGTAGCCAATTGGGAGACGTTCTAATTTAGTTCTTGTGGGAACAATTGGGAGATCCAAATGGTAGCTACAAAATCAACTGTAATAGATTGCAAAACCAGGATATCTGTGTTTGTTTGACAGAGGGAAGCCAAAAAAAGAAGCCAAACCTGAGTGATTGTCACGGATGTGGGTGTATTCTGTATGGTCCAAGAATGGTCTATAATAGCCATGTTTTCAGTTTTGAAAGAGTGAGCTCATTAAGGTTCAGCAGTCGAAAGTAAGAGAATGAATCGCAAGAGACAGACAGACGGAGACAGACAGACAGACAGACAGACAGGAAACACCAGAGCAGGCACTCAAAACAGCAGACAGACCGGGGATGCCCCTTTAAGTGGCTAGCTCATTCCGGTAGAGTCCTGAGCACAGCACAGCGTTTCCTTGAGTGAGGCTTCCAAGAAAAGAACAAGTAACAACAGAAAAGTAACATCAAATCAGGGCTCACAATATCTGGTAAAAACCGACTGGGGAAATTGAGGTAGCCAGCTGGAGCTCCCAATGAGCTTTTTCTTCATGGCTGAACTTCCTATGACTTTTTAAAAAATATTTTATTATTTTTTTGTGTGTGTGTGAGTATATTTCCTGCATGTATGTTAAGTGCACCTATGTCATGAAATGCCCGAGGAGATCAGAAGAGGTTGTCAGATTCTCTGGAACTGGAGTTATGGATGGTTGTTAACCACCGTGTGGGTGCTAGGAATCAAACCTGGGTTCCCTGCACAAGCAGCCAGTGTAACCACTGAGCCATCTCTCTAGTCCCCTCCCATGACTTTTAGGTACTTTTGTATCATGGGATGAACAATAGTAACCTCTGTTGGAAATGATTCACCTTCCAGCTGTTCTCAAG